TGCGTACATCAATCCTGAATTTTATGCGTGTAAATCAGGCTGAAGCTTTTTTATTGTATGTGTGCTTCCTGTGGATTTACGAATTCACTAATCTGCAACATAACGAGATATCCTTCGCCTACGTAAACTACAAAATTAAAAAATTAAAAACAAAAAAACAACAACAAAAAACAGCTAGTTTACGAGACTCGATACTCTGCCTTGCGCCCTCTCGTAATTTACACACGGTTTTGAATATATGAAGCGTCCATTTTATATCGGGAGCCAAAATGCTCTTTTATTTCTCACACAGGAGGTTTTTCCTCCGTGAATACGGTATTCAGATGAATAATGTCATCTAAATTTACATTTTAATGATTGGAGAGTTATTTGCTTTAAACTAATGGGTATTGACTTTGTGCATTTCAAAATTATCCGGGCCACAGTCGGCCTTTGCATATACATATTTAAGCGTCCATTGTTTTGGAGTGTCACATTAAAAGTTTATGCTGTTATAGTAGGCACTCCGCTTATTAAAATAATGCCAAATGTTTTGAGAAAGACATTCAAGAATTTTTTTCACATAAATGTTATTCAATTTTTTCTTGTATCATATCGCGAGCCGTTAATTGCCATTGTATTACCAACTTGTTTTGTTATTATTTAGTAGTATCATTCCCGATTTAAATATATGAAACTTTATACATTCGAAAACTGAGGATAGCTGTTTCAAAAAAAAAAAAAAATACAAATGTGAATATGGATGAACAAATATGAATGCACACATGTATGAAAGTTGATTTCAGAAATATTCCTCAAAGCAATTTTCTAATATACAAGCAGATGAATTGTTTAAAGGTCTTACAAGACTTGCAATGCTTTTCGCTGTAAGTGTACATTGTAATTTTTATCGTTCCGCTAAGAATATTTTGGATGAACCGCCATTATGTGTAAATGCAATACGAATAAAAGTGTTCATTACACAATTTTTATATTCCCAAACAGGTTAATTATATTTTTTCTTTGGCACAGTGTGTAGACACGTAGGTCAGACGGTACGTCTATTTAGAAAACGGTTCAGTATTCAAATTAAATGATTTGTTAACCCCGATCGATGTTCTCCCAAGACACACGCCCTCGCTGGCTTGCTTTCACTTAGCGCAAGCAGGCATATCACTTTAACAAAGTGGAAACTCGTCTGGAATCCAGCTCTCATGTGCGAATGCGCAAGCGTGGCCAGGCGAGAAGTCGTGTTCCTCGGTGCCCGTCGGAAGAATCCGCAGGGGGATGCGCCCCGTCCAGGCGCGTTCTTCGGAAAGAACGACGCCCACTCGATCACCGACGCGACCCCGCCCCCGCGCGCCACGCAGCTCGCTCGCCCGCTCGCGCTCGCGGCGTCCGCGCCACTCCAAGGAAATTGAAGGAAAGGGCCCCGAGGAGCAAGGAGCGAAGATAGGCGCGTCAGTGCCCGACGGCAGATCAGGAGAATGTGTGGGGATGTGAGGCTGTAGACTCGCGGTCAACGCGATAACTTTCGCTGCACAGTTCAAAATACGGTCTTTCAGTGTAGAATTGATTTTTTCGAAAATAAAAATGTATCAGTACTTTGAGGTTAGGACGCTTTATAACGTTCGGTTTTTTGGTTAATACACTTTCCGACTTCCTAAACTTCCTTTTCTCGAGGGTTGCCGGCCCGAACTTCCGAATATACGTTTCTAACACGCTGGGATGACACCCTCCCAATCCTGGCTGGAAGGGGTAGCTTGTAGACCCATTTTAACCAGATTTAAGGTATGTTCATTACCGAAGTACCCCATTGACACCTCTCAGCTATGTACAGTCGGTTCTGACGGAAAAGGCTCTATCTGATACGAAAAGGAAGGAGATTTGGAAGGTGGTACATAATGGGTGAGGGAGCCCCACCGTATCAAAACGTACTACTTCTATACCTTAAACGAAATTCAAACCCTCGGCCTGCATTTAACGCGTATTTGGGTGCAAAAGCTCAAAATTCCTGCACATCCAGACGCAATGGATAATGTTTGAAATATGATTCATGGCAGTTGAGAGAGCTTGAACATATAGGAATATATCAGTTAATTCCAAATAAAGCTGATTCAATGTCGAACTGGTAATCCAGGACACGAAACCAGGGCAAGATAAGTGAACGGTAGACGAAATGATCCAAATATACTGAAAACTGTGAAGTTTCAACAACATAGGAAATACAGGAGCATTAATTAAGAAATAATTTATTTTTAAATATTTGGGTGGGAATATTTAACTGTTTTTTTACGAACGCTCTTGTTTGAGGTTTGATTTTTTTTACCTGGGAACCATACTGTGATAACACCTAGTTTCTAATTAACCAGTGAGAAATATCGCTGTTATCCTTCCCGTCCCGCATCGCACTTACGTCCCTATCTTACCGGAGACTCCATGTCGGGCATAGCGTGCACAGCCGTGAACAAGAGGGGACCCCCCCCCTCAACCAAGAAGGGGAGTCCAACTACATTTCTGGGTCGCTCTGCACTCCCTCCCCTCTTTTCATTTATGTTTTTTATTCAGATGTTACTAATCTTATTAAAAAATAAAGAACATATACAAGTAAAATGAAATTTCAACTTAAATTATACAAGCTATTAATAACATCAATTAATTAATTAATAATTATTATTAATTTTATGTTGAACCAATTACAGGGTTGCCAGATGATTTAGAGAGACCCTTCCGCAATTAAGGTCTCAATTCTCCAAACTATCGGCTTCAAATGGAAAAAAATGCATAACTGAAGATATTTATAGAAATAAAATAGATCACTACGTAGGGCTGCGGAGTCTTTCGAATTTATCCCTCCCCCCTATTCGCTTGCCTATGATGGCGGCCATCGGCAACCCAATGACGCCGCTTCTTGGCTGCATCTTCCTAACCGAGCAACTGCAGAGCAACCACCCTGTCATCCCATTAGACGAAGCATTTCGAGGCGTCTGGCGCCCTCCCGGGCTCGGCCCTGCGCTTGGCAGCTGCCTGACTGGAGGGCGCGCGCGTGGGCTGGCGTCGAGAGTTCTCCCGGCGCCGCCACCCTCGGACTGCCTTGCTCGATCCCTCCGCGCCCCGCCCCGCACCGCTGCGCCACACCCGCAATGCACACCGCCCTTTGCCATCTCCGGCCTGATTCGTATCCACGCCGCTGAGTTCCTGTTCTACTCTGCCCCCGCCCCGCTCCTCCCCCACCTGCC